TTGCAGCTCTACATCCAGGAAGGATAAATTTCCACTGCACAGAGAAAAACTATTTGGATCCTAAGACAAATACAAGCTGATTAAGAATCTGCTAGAAGAGTTTGGTTTGTTCTGGCCAGACAGGGACTGAGAAAGGACAGATGTATTTCTGAAGAACCACTAAAATAAAATTATAAATAAAATTGTTATGAAAATATATAAGAGGTACAATAATGGCAAAAAGTATTTAGTAAGTTTAAATGGTGAATTAGAGAGCTTATATCCCTGCCACGATTGATTTCCTGGACCAGCCTTCCAAGAAGGGTAATGAGGCAGAAAAATCTGCATTAATTTAACATACAGTTTGATAGAATTCCCTCCATTAATTTGTAAGTGAAGGAGCCCTGGAAACGGGTGGCTCAGCCTGAGGTACAGATCTGGGCTGGCCAAGGAGTCAGCAGTGCTAAGGGTGTTTGAAGGAGGTGCTGCTTTACCCCAGGCTTCTGGGTTTCTGCTGGTCATTGTGATGAAGAATGTAATTTCCCTCTTAATTTGCTCCTAAAGGTACTGAGATTTTCCTTCCTTCGTGAAACTAAAGGCAAGCTCTAGGTCTCATGCATTGGTGCTCCTAGCATTACAGTCCCAGAGGTCTGCTCGCACATTAGGCTTAACGCTACTGCCAGATTAGGGTCAGGAGGGAATTTTCCTAGATTGACAGAAAAATTGTGGTTGCATTTTTTGTGTGGTTTTGGTTGGGGCCTTTTTGTTTTGTTTTGCTTCAGGTTTTTACCTCCCCAATCTCACATCTATTTTCTGGATCCTATGTAATTTTTTTTCATTAATTCTGCCATTGCCAAACTGCAGACCACTGGTCCCTTAATCTCCCTGCCTGCCTCCTGTAGCATGTTAGAGCTGCAGGTTTTTTTCCTGAGAGGAGTCAGAAAGCACTTGCAGCACCTGGTTTGTGAGGTAAGTGGAGCAGATGTCCAGACTAGAGGCACCAAGAGGATGTTCACTGCATGTTTACTCCCAGATTGAGACACTGGACTACAGGGTGAACCTGGAGGGCTGCCCAATGGAAACACAAGCACACACAGTAACTGCAGCAGCAGCTCTAAGAGGGAACAGGGGCATTAACCCAGGCTCTCAGCTGTACAAGCACAGATTTAAAGGACACACAACCATTGGAGGGTCTCCGGGGCTTATTTACAGGCAGACAGGCAGGGATTTGGAATGAGGAGTGTGTAACAAAGCAGAGAAAGTGTGGTGAGAGAGCCCCAAACCTGCAGGTGCTGCAGCCAAAGCAGGATGAGCACCTCTCACAGCTCTCTGGGGATCCTCTGAGTCCACCTGCATCACTTCCAGCATCAGACTACCATGGCCACACAGCAGTCACCTTGGAGCTGGGTACCCCTGTGATGCTTCCAGTGGAGGGAGGCTGGGGAGGCACAGATATGCCACAACAGCAACCTCTGCTTCAGGTCAGGAGCTCCGAGCCCTTGAGTGTGTTGAGTAAATCTGAATCTCAAGAACTGGTGGTCTCAGGGACAGGAATGGGTGTAAACAGCAAGGACCATAGCCAGGCTCCTGCCTGGCACCTCTGCCCACAGGGGTCCGTGTCAGCTTTCAGGAGGAATATGCTGAACATCTTAAGTGGGAATATCCTAAGTGTGGGAAAGCACACCCACCTCACAGAAATGTGGGTACTCCACACCTGGCAGCACCCAGCTCCATGGTCCCAGAATAATGGTTCCTGAGGATAAGGGATTCTGCTGTTGCTGAGGAAATGTTTTGAGCTCTGCAAAGCAATGAGAACAAGGGCTGTGCAGCATTCAGCCCTGGGCAGAGATGTGCAAGGAGTGATGCTGTCAGACTCTCCTGCTGCCCCACTGCCTTCTGCATATGGGCTCCAAACTAGCTTATGCATAGTGCACAAGCCCCTCATCTTGCAAGTTTTACCTACTATGAAAGACAATTTGGATGCCCTTCTAGCTGGTTTCTAGCTTGGAGATCATGTTCAGAACATACTAATGCAAGAAAGAATGAAAAGGGAAAGGGAGAAGAAGACATGAAATCAGCATCAATCCCTTAAAGATTTGTTCCAGAAGAAGAGTGTAGATAACAGGCCCTGGTACAAGAAGGGACAACTGCTGGAGGTTGGAGTCTGTAGCAGGAACAGAAGGGGAAAGGCTGAGAGTGCTTTGAAGAGAAACAGTGAAAATCCCAGCTCTGCTTAGTGACCTCTCAAAAAACACCCTCTGTGTGGTTCCCAGCCATGGGCTGCTACACCTCAGGGCAGAGCCACTCACATAGACAGCACAGGATACTACTGCTTGTGGGAGGAAGGTTAGCTGTCCTATGGTGAAGCGGATTTATTTCAGGAGAACTGGGGTTCCTACAAAGTCTCAGCTTTGCTCCTCGCCTCTGGCTTGCCTGCCAGAGCAAGGAATGTGCTCCAAGTGCTGCTCTTTGCCCCTGTCCCCAGTTCTCTTCAGAGGGCTCCCGCCAGTACCCATGCTTCCAAAGAGCTGGCTGTGCACTGCTTTCCACACTCCTGCCTCCTCTTTGCAACAGTGCCTTTGCCACTGGCTGGACAGCAGGAAAACACCTTTCTGCAACTCTCTCACACCCTCCACAACAAACCTGAAATCAATAACCAAGAACACAGGGACAGGTTATTGCTAACGGAAACCATTAAACTGTAACACAGGGGGATAAAGCCAACCTTTAACACTCAGAAGATTTATAGGGCACAACAGCAGGGTGTTAATTCTTTTGGCAACACAAATGATTTCACAGCCCCTGCCTTTCCTCACCCGCAGGAGCAGTGGGAGGAAAGAGGACCATGTGCAGCCCAGCCGTAGGAACACAAGGACACAGCCTTGTTCACACAACAGTCAGCAGCACACATATTTGGGGTGATGCCATGCTCACAGGGCTGCCCAAATCCACGCACCTAAGGTGCTCAGGGGTTCCCGGAGTTGCTGACAGCAGACATCCCCTGTGCCAAACTTCACCTTGCCTATAACACTGTCCAATCCTGCCTGCCTCTTCAGCTCCACCACCGTTTTGAGGAAAGGCTGTAAAGAAACTTTCAGATCACCTAAAGCATTTGTAGAAACAAGCCAAACTCTAAGGGATACAGGTCTTTCCTCAGGCCTGAATTACCCAACAGCTGGAGAGCATTTTCACAGCTGGTTGAACAGATGCTCTCCCTGTAAAACTTGCTCGGATCCACATTCCCTCAGTACTGCTTTGGCAGCTCTGACACCAAGGAGATGCTGGCCAGCACCACCATTGGCCCAGCAGCTCTGGGCAGGAGAGGGCCTGCAGGTGTGCTGCAGCCACAGTGCTTTGTATGAACTCACAGAAAGGGACACACATCCTCCCCACAAGACTCCACTGGGCTCCGTCTGTCACCTTCTTCTTCAGTGTCCCTGGAATTACTGCATTACTGATTAACAGCCCCCTGCCTCCCTCCACCTATCCAGCTCACACCCTTTTGCCTGCAGCTGCCTCCTTAGATCCTCCCTTGTGTAAAGTCCAGGGCCAGGCAGGAGAGGACAGGCTGGGTGTTCACTCAGGATCCACCTGCAGGCAGCCTTACTGTACCCCACATCCCTGGGTACTGCAGAGGCCTCCCTGGGCTGAGCAGTGGGGCAGCACAAGTCAACCCAGTGCTGCGCTGGCAGGAGTACCTCACTCCATCTAGGGGAGCAGCGAGGGAAGAGGTGGGCTCCAGCCACAGTGCCAGACCATAAGAGTGCTGCAATACACCCAGGCACAGCCACATCTGCCTCAAAGCCTTGGACACGCTCCAAGTAGCAACATCGGCATCAACTTGCCTGAACCCCCCATGCTGGGTTTATTGCCCCTATTCCCCTCCCTGCTCTCACACTATTGGAGTGGGTGCTGCCTCCACCAAGGAAGCGATCTGAAGGGACTTTGACCAGCCCCCTCCCACCCCAAACACCATGAAAAACCCTGGGAGTGAAATGGAGTCCATCCCCTGCCCATAGCTACCCTCCACACCCTCCCAGCTCTGCACTGCCCAGTTGGGCAGCTGCAGGCTTCCCTAACCCAGGATGTGCCAAGAGAAGGCTCAAACAGGCTCCACTGCATCCCGCTCCAAGCCTGTCCCAGTCCTGAAGCCAGGGTGCTCAATGCCATCTTGGGGTTCCCAGTCAGCACTGCCACCTGCAAGGGACCCCCAAGCTTGTCGCAGCCCAGGAGCAGTCCAAGGCAGGGCTTTGCTCTGACTGCCAGCACAAGAGCAGGAAAGATGCTTGGCAGCAGGCCCAAGCACGCTCCCTTGGGGGCCGCCTGCAATCACTCCTCTCCTCCATGAGCTGCAATGCCCTGAGAGGGCCTAGACAGGCGTCATCTATCCCTCCCTGCCACTGGCTATCCTTTCCTGCCAAGCACCATCCCACTGCAGACAGCTGTAACTTCTCTACAGTCACACAAACACTTCTCCCTCGGGGGAAACCCAGAGATAAGATGTCACTCCTCTCCTTCCTGCAAGGCGGAGCAATACCAAGGAGCAGGCTCGAAAGGGACAGGCACACAGGGCAGTGGGCTCGGAGCGAGCAGAGCCCTTCCCGAGCTCTGGCCAGGAGCTCTAGCCCGTTCCCAGCCCACTGCCGGGAGCGGCGGTGGAGGATCTTGCACTGCCCCGCCGTGGCCACTGCGAGAGGTGCAGGTGGCCCCAAAACGGCTGGGAGCCTCGGAGCACCAAGTCCTGCAACCAGCAGAGCCCAAGAGACGGTCACAGGGGTCCTCAAAGAGGCATTCACCCTGTGCCAAGCCACTGCAGGCCGCCACAGTGACAGTCACATGGTTTGGTGACCTCAGTCCTGTCCCACTCTCCCCAGACATCCCACTCCGGTGCCCAGTCCACGACCTGTGCAATATTTCATGGGGCTGCACCACAGGCAGAGTCCCAGGGGCCTAGAGGAGGGCACAGCCTGAGCCCACACCTAGGAATAGCCCACGCAAAGGAGGAAACAAGGCAGTGCTGCTGTTTGGGCATCCGCATTTATTATACGTCTGGGGCAAGCCCAGGGCTGCCACTTGCCTGAACTGCTCCAGTTGAAGGCCAATGACCCATCCTCCTTAAATATTGGTTATAAAACAAATTTTTTTCCTTTTTCATTTTATTAAAAACCTCACCTCTCTCTCCATACTTTTTTTGCCTTTTGTATTTGAGTATAAAAGTGGGGGCGGGTGCTCCGCCTTGCCTGCCGCTACCTCCGCAGGCTGCGCTGTGCCTGCTGCAGCAGAGTGTCGAAGTCCAGGGAGTCAAACTTGCTCTTGACTGGAGCTGGGTCAAAATCCTCCCGGTTTGAATCTAGGAGAGATGGGGAGAAGCTGTCTTGAGCCCACAGAAACACTGGCACAGTTCTAGTCATTCCCACAGCAAACTTCTTGTTTCACCTGCCAGCCTCTAGACCCAGAGTAGCACAGGCCTCCAACACAGTGCTGGAGAGACAGGGAGCCCACGTTCAACCTCCCTTCAGGGCAGGAGTGTTCCTGGATGTGACTCTGCTGCCAACCCTGACTGACCCCAAGGACAGGGACTCCTATGCCTCTGGAAAGAAGAGAAGGACCCAGGGAGGCCAACCTCCAACTTGGAGGTTGCATAACTCACCCAAGTCAGCATAATTCCTCCTGCAGAACTGCCTGCGGCCACCAAAGCACAAGTCGAAGGGCTGCTCGTCTGGGCGCCGCAGCTTGTGTCCACTCTCAATGGCGGCAAAGGCTTCCTCAGCATAGCGGTAGGTGACAAAGCCATAGTTATCCCTGATATTGGAGGAGATCAGCAGCAACAGTTATGCTTGTCCCCTTGAGTAATGGGAAAAGGGCCAAGAGAAGTCATTCCTGGGAAGGGACTGACCCATCTTCCCACAGCTCTTACCCCTCGGAGCGGAAATGCAAGGTACACTCCTCAATGTCCCCAAATACAGAGAAGCGGTGCCGCAGCTCCGACCGTGTCATCCTGCTGGGGATCTTGCCGATAAACACAACTCGCCTCTCCTCCTGCAGGCAGGGATGCCCCATCCATCAGCAGGACCTCTCACACAAAGCACCCTCCCTTCATGGCCTCCCACCACACTGTGCCCTGGTCAGGGCCTCCCAGCAATGCTGTTGGCAAGGCTACACCCCCCTGTGGCTTTCCGAAGTGACAGAGGGGCTGTGGACCACCAAATTTCCAGCCCAAGATTCCCAGCCCTCCATCACTCACTATTGCACGTTCCTTCTGGAGGATCCTCTGCCTTTGGTAGTGGTCCTGTGCATCGTAACTGTATCTGTCAGGGCAGAAACCAGACACGTAAGCCATGGAATCATGGGGGTGTCAGAAGAGTGATTCCAAACACAAGGGAGATCTTGAAGGAGTGGGTCCATCCCTCCTCCACAGGAGGCTGGGAGATGGGCTGGGGAATGCTCACACCCCTGCAGCGTGGCCAAGCTCACCTTCTCCACCTGTTACTCCTCCTGCGGGGTGAGGGGGAGCGGGACTGGCTGCGGGATGTGGACCTGGATGAGTAGGAGGATGTTGATGATGAGGATGAGGACCTGTCCCGGGACCTGCCACATGACCCACAGCTGGAGTGAGAGGAAGAGCTGTGGGAACATCTTGAGCGGTACCTGGGAGAAGGAGAAATACAGCTGAGCCCTCCCATTGTCCAGCATCATGAGGCTCCAAAGTAGAAAAATATCTCCACTGTCCCCATGGTATCTAGCATCCCACTCGGATGGGACCCCAGTGTGGGGAAGCCTCTGCCCAAGATTGCCAGGGCAATAAAAACACTCTAGAAATGTTGCCCCCATTTGGCTACCAATGCCACAGAGAAAAGGAAGCAGGTTCACAGGAGGTATAGTTTCTGAAGAGCAAGAAATAATCATGGGGGAACTGTGAAGCACAGGGCTGTGCCTGGGAGAGCCCAGAAAGGGCTGGATTTCTGTGCTGAGCCCCACACGATGCACAGGACAACACTATATCCATGTTGTGCTCAATAGCCTTGCGAACAGAGACTGCAAGAGCTTCTCCAGCAGGGCCAGGGAAAGCTTAAGGACGGTAGGACCAAAACACCTCAGGGATTAAGTTGTGCTGCCTCCAGCCAGAAGCACAGTCCCCCTCCAGACATGCTGGCCAGAGGTGTTTCCTGCCATAGGCAAAAGCAGGCCTGGCAGGGCATATGCTGCCTGCCTCTGCTACATATTCTCCTGGAGGACAGCAAGTCAGGGTGGGACAGTACATGGGGGCATCTTCCAGCACAAGGCCAACTGACTTGCTGGAAAGCCAAGCCAGACATACTGCTTGACAATCCCCAAGCTGCACATCCATGGAACATGGCACTTTTATACCTGCCCTTTCCAGCTCCAGCTTCTGCATTTACTGGCCATCAATGAAGGGGTCTTGGTTGGACAAGCCCCTCATGCCCAGGGACATCTCCAGAACTGGCTGAACACCAAGAGAAGGACAGAAAGAGAACCCCTTCAACAGCTCCAGTGCCTCCCAGCCCAGCTGAGACAGGCTGCACATCACTCAAATGCACAAGGACTCTGAAAGAAATGCATCCCACAGAGACCAAGGTGCCCCACTTTCCTACACAGCCACCTGCATACAGAGAACAGGGAGCACCCAAGGCAGCCAAGCCAGACAGGTTTTCCCCTGCTTGCCTCCAGCAGCTCCCTGGAGTGCTCCACTGTGGCTCCTCTCGTTTCAACACCAAGGGCTGTAGCAACCCCACAGCAGCACAAATATGAACACCTGCCATAATACTCCAGAAAAAGCACCCAGAACCAAAGATGCAGGCAAGGACTTGTAACATGGATTGGGTGTTCCAAAAGGAGTAAGGAAGTCTGGCTCAGTGGTGGTTTTGCAGGCACATGGGCCCAGATGTGGGCTGCAGCCAGAAATGGATGGGCAGAGTGTTGCTGCAGGTCCCCCACCCTCTACGAGCCAAACATCTCTTCAGAAGGGCCACAAGGACAAAAAGATCAAATCCAAACATCTAGTAGGACCACAAAGATTTGTCTGGGCACTTGCAAAAGACCAGCCACTGGACAAGTGCCCCAAGAGCAAGCAACAGTGCACTGCTTACCTTCGCCACCGCTTGGGGGGTGGGGAGAGCGACCGTGACCGGGATCGGGAGGACGAGGATGAAGATGAAGACGAGGACTCACTAGCTCCATCCGAACTGGAGCTGAAAGAACGGCTGGCACGGCTCCGGCCAGCCCTCCAGCTGTCAGTAGAGGGTGAGTCCTGGGGTCTCCGGTAGCAGCGCAGGGACCTCTTGGCAGCAGCATGGCTGGGCTGGGCACTGGGAATCTGCACCTCCTGGTCCCGGCAGGGGGATGCAGCTGGAGACAGGAGCACTGAGGTGGGGGGACTGCTGCACCCAGTGGTGGCCTTGTTGGGGATGGTAGTCCGATAATCCAGGGGAGCTAGGCAGGCCATCCCCAGGGGCTCCTGGCTGTGCCCCATGGTGGTATTAGGGGCTGGTGGGGTAGGCTCAGGTTGGTCCAGCGTCCGTTTAGTTAAGGAGGAGATGGGTTTGATAGTGATGTCCCGGTGGTGTTTGACATTCCAGCGGGAGCCACTTTTGGCAGGGGGCTGCGTGCCAGGGATATTGCTGCTCTCGGGCCGTGGCGTACCCAGGATGCAGTAGTCATGGTCTCCTGAGCAAACGTGGCTGGGGGCTGTGCCGGCAGGGGCTGGCACCATGGTCTTCACTTGGATCTTATTTGGGAGCAGTGGCTTGGCTGTCATCAGCTTGGTCGTCTTTTGGAGGCCTTCCTGGGGTATGGACCCAGGTGACTTGGTCTTGGCCAGAAGTGAGACAGCAGGCAAAGGCTTCCAGAGCTGGTGAGGAGGTGTCGCTGGGGGCGTGAGGCCTGGGAGAGCACCAGAACACTTACATGAGCAGCCCTTTGCTACAATCCACCCAGCTGTGGCTCCCTCATGTCCCGACCCCCCTCCCTCCTCAAGGTGTCCCCCCAAACACACAACAGCCCTGCCACAACATGGCAGACTACCTTCCCTCACCCCAAGTATATATTACCTGCCACATTGGCCAGCTCAGAGGCCTGCAGGCCATCTGGGGGCTTCCTGTCCTGCTGGGTTGGTGCATCCTGCTGGATCTCAGGCCTGAGAATGGGAAAGGAGCTTTGTCAAACACAGCAGACAAAGTCCAGCCTCACTCCCCACACCTGGGGTACCCAGTCAATCTGCCCCACTGGCCAGTTCATGAGGACATAGGATCCAAGAAAGCTGCAAGGATAAAACTTGCAAAGCCTGGTCAAGCCCATCACTGCTTCTCCCTATTTTTCTCCCTCAGTTCCAGCTCTGTCCCAGTCCAGCAACAAGCTCAGCCCCTCCTGGGCCAATGGACACAGCCCCAGCACACTTCAAACCCTGCCAGGACTGAAAGCTGCCCTGTGCCCTTGCTCTGCTGGGCTCCACGCTGAGCATCAGCTGCCAAGTTCTTGATACTCACCCAGAACTCTCTATCAGCAGTCCTTCCTCAGGGGGCTGTGCAATTTCCTCCTTCTTGGCTGAAAAGAGAACAGCTAGGTGAGAGTGGCAGCAAGTGGGGTTGAAGAATAGGGTCCACAAAGCACCCCAGGAACAGCTTGGAAGAGGGTTCACAGCACCTGAAACCCAGCCCCCTGGAGATAGGAGCTGAACATCCTCTTTTCCTTCACAGACTCCTCCCCACCACTTTGGTTGCCATGGGGACCCCCAGGTGTGTTTCCACAGGCCAAGGAAATAGAGGCAAAGACAGCCCCAGAACAAAACACCTGGGCAAGGTAACAGGAGCCCACCCGCAGCAGCATCGCAGCCCTCCCACTACCACCCTGACACAGGGAGCACAGACAGCCCAGGGAGGCCGGGATGGCATGGAGGGAGTCCTGCAGGTGATGGAATGCCAGATCCGCACCTTCAGACTTCTCAAACTGCTCCAGCAGGCTGGACAGGTCGGTGGCTTCAATCCCTGGGCCAGGGAGAAAGCGCAGCAAGTCAGATCAGCTACAATTCTCCCAGCACTGCAGTGATGCACCCCAACCCCGTTCTCCCCCTGCATCAGCCTCCCTTGGATGGTAGGGCAAGCACTGGGGAGGAAAAGCAATAACAGAGCCTGCAGCAGCTCTGTGTCTCCCACAGCAAGGACAGGAGCACCCAGCTCCAGTTCCAGAAGGGAGTAGTTTCAGGACAGCCAGCCCAGACCATCCATTGTAGATGACATCCTAGCAGAGCACTGGGAAGAGACTGCAAGCCTGTGGGCATAGCTTTGCCACCCTCATCCCCAGAAGTGCCAGGAACCAGTCCTGCTACCTAGGTTGCCAGCAGCACTGCAGCCTCTGACACTCAACCCAGCATCCTGCAGCTCTCCCACTCACCGATCTCGCTGATGAAGGCTTGCACAATGTCCTTGCTGCCGTCGCTGGGCTGGGCTGGGCTGAGGAGTGGCTGGTGCCTCCATGGCTGCACAGTGGGTGCCTTGGTGGGAAGGCTGCTCTCTCGACCTGCTTTCCGTGGTAGTGCCACAGCCTGGGAGGTGGATTTTTGGCCAGGCAACTCCTGCCCAGCAGCTGCCTTGGGCTCCAACGGGGCTTTCTCCACTGCCTCCTTGCCTGGCCCTACAGCCTTCTCCATGGCATGGGTGCCAGGGGACTCCCCCACAGGGATGGGAGACACATCTTCTGGGCAGCAGGTGGCAGCTGGGGGGGCCTTTAGGAGCTGGTTGGGCACTGCAGTTTGAGGCTCCTCCAGAGACTGTGTGGGGACAGCCTGGGGGACTGGAACTGCAGGAGGGATCCTGGTGGGCTGGGCAGCGGCAGCTGAGGGGGCTGGCAGGGGCTGGGCTGGGGCTGGAGCCAGAGGGGCCTTGGGTAGAGAGCTCTCTCCTGCCAGCCGTGCCTGCCTCCTGGGGCCTGACACCCTGCCAGTCACTGGCCTGGCTGGGCCACCTGCAGCCCCCATCTCGCTGGTCGGGGCAGCAGGCAACTGGGCAGGGAAGGCTGGTGGCTCTGGGCAGCTGAGCATAGGGGTGGCAGGAGGCTGCCCATGCAGAAGGGTTGTGCCAGGGTGGCTGCCCGCTGGGAAGGTGGGGACGGCCTGCACTGCTGCTCCGGGGTCCCTGTACGCAAGGGAAGGCACCGGAGGTGGCATGGGGATTCCTGGCCAGTAGGATGGTGGTGCCCACCCAACTGGGGCATAGGGACCACCTGGGCCAAATGGAGGCGGGGGTGGCACAGGTGGAGGGGGCCAGGCCATGGCTGGAGGCGGGAGGCCAGGCACCATGTGAAAAGTACTGGAGGAGCTGGCACTGGGTGGTGGGGGCAAACCATGGCAACCCATGGGCTGCGGGCTGAAGCAGGGCCAGGAAGGCACTGGTGGGTAAAGGGCATAAGCACCGGCAGAGGCTGGCGGCATCCCAGTGGGGGCCACCCCAGCAGCTGGGGGCACGTTTGGTGCAACAAAAGGCATTGGTGTTGATGGGGGTGGCGGAGCTGTGGCAGGTGCTGGGGCTGAAGTCAGAGCAGTGGGAGCTTTGCTGGCAGGAGAAGGGACAGCAGCAGGGCTGGTGGGTCTGTCTAGTCCCTTCTGAGCACCGTCTGCCTCGGTGGCAGAGCGCATGGGTGACACCAGGCAGGGGATCTCTGCCAGCTCTGTCGGAGGCTCAGGGACACTGGGCCACTTGCTGGCCACTTGCTTCTTGCCTTCCTGGCTGCCACCCGTGCTGAGCTGACGGTGCAGCATGCGGATGCGGTACTCACGCAGGCTCAGGGCCTTGGGCTTGGCTTCCTTAGGCGGGCCCTCACTCGGCTCTGCTGCTGGCAGGCTCTGGGTAGGCTCCAGCCCAACACCTTGCTCTGGGAGCTGAGAGGCAGCCTCCGAGACCCCACTGCTCTGTTTGGCAGATGGCTGCACATCTCCCTGGTCCCCAGCCTGGTCTGTCAGGCTGGGACATGCAGCTGCTGGCTGCCCCTCCACGCTTGGTGCAATCTTCTCCAGGGGTGCCAGAGTCTTGATCTTCTCCAGGGCCACACTGACTGTTTCTGGTGCTGGCTCCTTCTGCAGCTCCTGCTTCACTTTCTTGGGCAGGAAGGCCCCTGCTGTGCTCCGAGGCCTGCCCCGGGGGCATGGTGCCCGCTCAGCATGCAGCTCCATCTGCCCCTCCTTCCGGGCTCGTTCCAGCTGTTGAGCCAAGAAGTCTGAGACCTGAACAGAGGGACACTCTGCCCGCTGCCGGCTGATGGCTGGCTGGACATGGGGCTGTCCAGAGCCAGTGGAACGGAGCCGGTGGGCTACGCAGTCCCTGCCAGGCCTGGTCTGCTTGCTTTGGCCCTCCTCTGTTTTCTTTTTCCGACTCTTCCTTGCTCTCTCACGGCCCCGTCCCTTCTCAGAGCCTTGACGTTTTCCATCTGCAGGGGCCTCTGTACTGTGCCAGGCGCTGCCATTGGGACCTGAGGCTCCAGGTGCCACTGTCTCCAGTGGGGAGGTGGCCTCTGGGACAGTGCATGAAGGCTCCTTCCCAGGCAGTTTTTTCTCCTCCTCTTCCACCCCATTTTTCTGGTTTGGAGCTCCTGGCAGCTCCCCTCGATCTTCTGGGATTGACTCCCTGGTACTCTCCTCTACTCCCAGGAGCTGGGGCTCCAGGTCAGAGGAGCTGGGAGTCAAGGGCTGCAGGACCACAGGGATCTCCACACTCTCTCCCTCTCGAGGCACAATTTCCAGCAAGACAGGACTGCTCAGAAGTTCTTTGGCCACAGGCTCAGTGCCAGGGTCCAGGCACACAGTAAAGGTGGGCAGGCAGTAGGGGTGCATGGACTTCACCAGCTCACTCAGGGATACATCACCTGTATTGATGATGCAGGGGTCTTCATGCTCCTCCAGCACTGCTCCAGCCTCACTCACACAGAAATCCACAGCCCCCATGCTGCTGTCTAGCTCCAGGCCCAAGGCAGCCTCCTCCTCTTCTTCCTCCCCATCACTGCGCTGTGGCAGGGGCTGCTCTCGGACTCGGTGCCAGCCCGCCTTCCGCTCCACCCTCGGGGTGCTGCAGACTTGCTTCTTTGGCAGCATTGGGTCCTCGAGGCCATGAGCAGCACGGTCCCAGGCCACATCTGTGTCAATCTGGGAAGGGGGACCACAGCAAACATCAGTTCCTGGGCTTTTAGCAGCACTCCCCCAGGACAGCGAACTGGGTCTGCTGCCACTCTACAGCAAAGCCCCACAGCAGACAAAAAAGGTTGGCACATATTTGACCTGCCCAGTAAAACACAGCAGAGCTGGGAATCCAATGCTCCTATGAGAGATCCCCAGTCTGTGGCACCCACCCCCTGAGGCAGACCCTTCTCCCACTACCACTGGTGCATTGCAAAAGCATCGCTTCTGGGAAAGGATGCTTGTGCCAGGAGGGAAGCCTGGGGCTGGGGGCTGCAGCAGGGACAGTTATCCCAGCACCACCCCAACACTGCTGCTTCAGCTTCCCCTACTCAGCTGCTCACCTTCCCAACCACAGAGACGCTGCTGCTGCTGCTGCTGAGAGGCCTGAGAGCCTTAGGCTGTTCCAGGGTAGGGCTCTCGCACTCCAGCAATGGGCGAGATAAGGTGAGAAACTTCTGAAACTGGAAAGATGGACAGAAGATGAGACAGTGGCATATCTATGCTGCTGGAGGGGACAGGCCTCCCCCAGCCCCACAGTGCCCATGAACTTCACCCCACAAAGCCCAAGAGCAAACAGCCCTGTTTCACCCACACTGCACACAGCTCCCACTGGGGACGTGCTGCTCCCCAAAGCCTCTGACACATCTCTGGCTCTATATAAAGACCCAAGGTGAAGGCATGGCCCTCCAGAGCACTTCTCTCATGTTGGAACCGTCATGAGAGTACATCTCAGAGTACTGGGGACCAGGGTCCTACTACTTCAGAGCACCCTCATGCTAGGACCTAGCAGAGCCCTGGCTGAGCATCTTCCCAGGGGCTCTGGGGTCAGGCTGCATCTACCCTCCAACTTACCGAGGGATTCTCCCGCTCACGAGGTGAGGTTAGCAGCTCTGCATCCATGATGGTGTCAAAGGGGGACAGGGTCTCATCATCTGTGCTGTCCAGGATCTCTGTGATGGCAGTCAGCAGGGACAGCTCGTTCTGTGCATCCAGGCAGGCCTTGCTCTGCTGCAAAGGTAGGGATGGTCTCAGAGGGTGATGGGACAGTCACAAGACCTGGACATGGAGGACACTGCCACCACCCCACCCCCCCATACCACAGCCAAGGCCAGCCCAGCTGCCACATCCCACATCTATGTGTGAGCTCCCACCTCGCTCAGAGAAAAATCCTCAATGATGGAGATCACAGAGGAGTCGAGATAGTTCTGCATTGTCCCCAGGATCTCTTCAGCTTCTAAGATGGTTTCTGCATCCAACGATGTTAAGTTCAGGTCATCCTCCTCGAGGGAAAAGCACTGCCGAGGAGCATGGGGAGCCAGGTAAACACTTTGCACAGCCCCAGTACCAGCACTGATTTCCTTGCAGCAGACATGGGCTACCAACAGCCTGTGCTGCAAACAGTGTCTGGGCACCCCCAGCACCCTGAACATGCAGGGGACGCAGCTGCAGGTCAGAAGGTGGCACAGGGGACCTTCCCCCTTGCTTTCAGGAGAGTCCACTGCACAAACCCCTGTGCTGGTTTCAGCCTGAGACCCTTCCAATTACCCAGGATGCCTCCACACTGAAAATTTCTGCCCGATTCACTCTGCAGCTGCATGACTGAGAAAGATGAATGGATAAAAAACCAGGATCTACCCAACACCACACATGCAGAACAGGGAGGGGACAGGCTAGTTCCCACCACCTCATGGACTGTCACGCGCTCCTCCAATTCTGGCTGTTGGTGCTTCAGATAAGCCCAAAACCATTATGAAATTCATAACAAAAGTGCAGGAGTCAGCAAGAGGGGTGCAGCCAGCTGCTACTGCTGGAGCCCTACCCCAAATAACTCTGCTACAGGCTACAAGAGGACATGGTCTGTGCTTGCAATCCAGGACTAAAACAGCTTTGTTACTCTTCTTTCTTCAAATTCCCACCCCACATCCTTTCCAGTCCCCTAGCCACCTCCAGGGATGCTTGGGTAATTCTGACTAACTTCAAAAAAGTACTTGCATTGCATTCCAGGGTGCCATGCCACACAGCCATGCTGCAGGATGGCCAGGAAAAGCCAGATGCTGGGCAAGGGCAGGGGCTGCAACTCCCAGTTGAGAAGAGCCACAGGACATACAGAGCAAAGCAGCAGTGCAGGTGTGTCACCGGCACAAGACAGGATGTGAATTCCTGTTTGCAGATGGGCTTAGGTAGACAGATAATGGAGGCTGGAAAGATAAGGTCACCAAGGACAGAGCCCTGGGAGAGTAAGCCTCCCTCCCAAAGATATCCGGCAGCACACTGTGATCCATCTTCCTGTCCTTGGAGCAGAACCAGCACCGTAAGAAAACAGCTGGACCTTGGGGGATGCACATGTGATGCAGTTCACCTGTGTCTCACATAGGTACCACAGTTTGTGTGAGCCTGTGCCCATGCAGAACAAAATGTACCTCGTCCCTAGAGAGAACCTGCTAATACTTTGAAATCACCTTCTATCAAGCAGTAAACTGCAGCAGAGAGACAGCAGGCATTTCACAAAGTAGGTATTTCTAAAATACAACTGCACCAAAGCCACATGCCCAAACCCCTGGTCCCTGGGGCTCTTCCCAGACTTGCTCCAATAATACAAAGCAGGCACCGCTGGCCACAGCACAGCCAGGAGCCCTGTGCAACCCCAGAACACAGGCACCCCAAGATCAGGCTGGGAATCAAAGCCAGGACACCCCCAGAAATGCCCTGAAGCTACTCATCCCAAATTCCCCGTCTGTGACATGACAGTCTTAAAGACCAGGAGTCTGCAGTGGTTTGGGGCTCAGCAGCAAGGCCAGCCTCTCTCAGGGCCTTCTGTCTGGGAGCCCACAAGTGACAGGACACCATTCCACCCCACCATGCAGATCAGACTATGGAGCAGTTTTAGAGCAGCTTTCCTCCTCAGCATCCCCAGTCCCCTCCCTCACTGGAGCTGGTCAGAGCGCAGCGCAGAGCCTGCTGGCAGCCCTCTAGGCGCAGCCTGGCTGTGATTCCCGGCCAATCCTCACAAAGATACTGGGATGACATCCAGGCTCACACGCCCAGCCCCGGCGTGCAACCCTGAGGCAGTGGTGACCAGCAGGCAGAGGCACCCTGGCCACCGAAGGAGCCAGCAGGATGGAGCATCAGCAGCCCAGGGACACGGGATCCATCTGACCCCTGCCTGTAGATGGTAAAGGGATCCAGAGGACACCGCGGGGCTGCAGAGCCCTGCCCATCTGGCCACAGGGCTGGCTCTCCCCAAAGAAAGCTTGTAATAAGAGGTTTCCAGCTATGATCAGAGCTGGACATTAGGGAGGGAAATAAAACCCTCACACTCAAATAGCCTCTTCCTGTGGCTGCTGCCCGCAGCCCGGGAGGGAGGGAGGGAGGGAAGCCGGGCAATCTCCCATGCCTTCCTCGACTCCCTTGACTCAGCGCCTTGCAACAAGGAGTCCCACAGCCGTGAGTCACCGGCCTGGGCTGTGTTCCCCCAGGACTCCCTTTGATCCACCTGGGGACGGGCACCTCCTGCAGCCCTAATCGCTTGAGCATCACTTGTGCGTCGGGGCGGGGGTACGAACCAGCCCAGCCTGCTCCAGCGTCCCTGCCCGCTCTCCTCCCTGCTAGAGACCCCTGACACTCCTAGCCCGGAGAGGAGGGGGCCTTCCTTCACAGCTCCCTGTGTTTGCTTTACAGCAGCGCTGCGGAGAGGAGGGTCACGGGAATATCCAAGGACAGGCTTCGGCTCTGGCCACGCTGTCCCCAAGCAACCAGCACTGCCGGGGAGAAGGAACGATGCCTACGAGAGTGGGCTGTGGGCACATGGGGTACTGGGACTGGAGCTAGCTGCTTGCAATGGACACAGGACCACCAGCCCTTCCGGCTCCCACCCGGCGCAGGGTACACTGCGCTCGCTGCTCCGAAGCGTAGGAAGGGACAACGGAGGCCCCCGCAGGCCGCGGGTGACACGTGTGCCCGGCGTGCTGCGGCTACGCCCCGAGCACAGGGCGGCCATGGTGCCCGGTTGGCTGCCAAGGCTGCTCTTACAGCGCCGGAGCTACAGGCAAGGGCGCGGGGTGAGCCTGGGAAGCCGGGGGGCTCCGCCCGGACAGCGCGGCACAGCCAGAGGATGCTCCGTGGATTCCTCTGCTGCTTTCGGAAAACATCAGGCGGGAACACACCTCTCTTCCCCCATACGCAGCATACTCTGCTCGCGTCGGGGACGGGCGAGATGGGGCTGGCGTCCTCCAGCCCGGGGTCGGGATGGGGGGGAGGTCTCCCACGCAGCCCCTCGGCCACGCAGGAAGACCCTGGTAGAGGCAGAACCCTAAGGCTTCCCCCGAAAACTCCCGACAAATGCACAACGCAGGTGCCCCCACGTCCCTTCCTTGGGTGCAGCCCATCCAGACAGCAGCGCACTCGCACCCAGCCCAGACCCGGCAGGGGCCCACCGGGGCCAGTGACAGCGGCAGCGCCGCGCCCCACACCTGCCCCAGCGCGGGAGCCTCTTGCTACAGGACAAAACCCCGCTTCCCGTGGATAAGCTCTCCGTACCGCTCAGGGAACCTCTCCCGGCCCGAGCCACGTTCTGCACTCACAGCTCCTGCCACTAAAACCGGCCAGTGTCGGTGTCCCATACCGCGCCAGCCCCAGCTCCCCGCGGCCGCAGGTGGCAGAGTGCGGCGCCAGGATGGAGGGACCGAGGGGGAATGACGCGAACGACATCCCCCTGTCCCCCACTACACGAGGCTGGGATGTCACCTCCCGCGGGAGACACCAAGCCGCCCGTCCCGCCGGGTCCCATGGCCGTGGTGCAGCCACCCCAGCCTGATAACCTCCCCGCGCTGATACCCCACCCCGGCGAGAGAGCTCTGGGTACCCCATTCCCCGACCCATAGAAAGGGCGTCCCACTCCAGGACCAGCAAGGGCGCCGCCGGCCCGAGCTGCGCCCCGCGCCCGCCGCCGGTGCGGCGGGCCCGCCCCCC